GTAGTTGGACACAATGCCTTTATTTTGTTTACTTATTTTTATGTGGTGCTGAGAATCGAACACAGGGCCTCACACGTGCTAGGTGAGCGTGCTACTACTGAGCCACAACCCCTGTCCCTTTAAATATAAATTATTATTATTATTAATATTATTATTATTATTATTATTTAATATATATATATATTTTTTTAGTTTTCAGTGGACACAACATCTTTGTATGTGGTGCTGAGGATCGAATCTGGGCTGCACACATGCCAGGCGAGCGCGCTACCGCTTGAGCCACATCCCCAGCCCCAGTAATATTATTTTTGAGACAGGGTCTCACTATGTTGCCCAGTTGGACTTGAATTACTGAACCTAAGTGACTTCCTGCCTAAGTTTTTGGAGTATCTGGGACTACAAATGTACCTTTTTTTTTTTTGTATTGGACCCAGGGGTGGTTAACTACTGAGCCACATCCCCAACCCTTTTTTTGCTTATTTTGAGACAGGGTCTTCCTAAGTTGCTGAGACTGGCTTTGAACTCATAATTCTCCTGCTTTATCCTCCCAAATCACTGGGATTACAGGCATGTACCATGGCACCCAGCCAGGGGCACCACCATGCCCAGCCAAAACATAAATTCTTAAGTGCTATTATTTGCCTCTAAGTAAAATATTAATATATTAACTTCTAATGAACAACATTGGGATTTTCCATGCTGAGGATCCGAAGCCATCATGGATACCACAGAGGAGCTGGAGAACCGGTTTTTCCTGGAGGGATGGAGGAGTTTGCCATTTTCTACCTGTTTACCAACAGTAATGACTAATACCTTCTACTAGGCTCTTTCCATTTCTAATTGGTGCTCCTACCTTGGAAAAAAATTGGCATTGCTTGTAAAAGCTACTGTTCTGCAAACATGGTGCCCATTAGCAGTGTCCCCTTCTATCCCTCAAAATAACATACAGTCCTGCCCCAGGAACAGGAAGGCAGATCCAGAAGTGGGAGCTGAATTCAGCAAAATATGGGGGTTATCTCTAAGAAAAGAACACAAACTTGTGAATGTACCAGGTTTGTCTGAAGTTTATATTTACTTATTTATTTATTTTTGGTACCAGGGATTGAATCCATGGGCACTTACTGCTAATCCTATCCACAGTTCTTTTTAAAAATTTATTATTTTGAGACAGGGCCTCACTAAATTGCTGAGGCTGGTCTTAAATTTATGATCCACCTGCTTCAGCCTCCTGAGTCTCTGGGATTATAGGTGTATGCTACCACGCTAGGCTTCATATTTATTTAGAATTATTAAAAGTTAGATAAAAAGGTTGAGGGTTTAGCTTAGTGGTGGGTTCCTTGCTACCATGTGAGGGGCCCTGAGTAAGAAAAGAAAGGACTAATAACTATAAAATTTTAATAATCATGGATTTTAATAACCATGAAAGTTGATAAGCCAACTACCATGTATGGAAACAAAATATAATTTTGTTAATAATTTTAGAAGAAAATTAATATACCTTTTGGTATTTTAGCTAAATAAAAATATCAAGGGCCATTACATGCAAATCAATGCTGACATATTTATTTATTTCTTAAAATATTTTTTTTTTAAAGAGAGAGAGAGAGAGAGAGAATTTCAATATTTATTTTTCAGTTTTTGGCAGACACAACATCTTTGTTTGTATGTGGTGCTAAGGATCGAACCCGGGCTGCACACATGCCAGGTGAGCGCGTTACCGCTTGAGCCACATCCCCAGCCCTGCTGACATATTTAAACATTACAAATTTCTACCCCAAATATAAAATTAATGAATAAATAACCAGGCAGTATCAAAATTCTTAATTTCAATATCTTTTCAATATAAAAATTCTTTAGATGTAAAAGTTTGTTTTAAAATATTTATTTTTTTAGTAAAATAAATAAAATAAAGTCCTTTATTTATTTTTATGTGGTGCTGAGGATCGAACCCAGGGCCTCACACATGTGAGGCAAATGCTCCACCTCTGAGCCACAACCCCAGTCCCATAGATGTAAAAGTTTTGTAAGTATGTGTAACCATAAACTTTAATTAATATGGTAGAAAATCTGGTTTTCTGGTTTTACTTAGACTGTTTACAATAGTGGATTATTCTATTCTGAAATAATTACACAAATACAGACCAACACATACTGCTTAATATCCTTTTCTGGATTCATAGTTCGTTGGCTTCTTATCAATCAAATATGGATTGGTCAAAAGTTAAGACAGAGAAACTTAAAAATAGAACATTGACATTTAATAATAAAAAGAAAGGGGGAAAAGAAGGCAAAGTAGCAGGATATAAAACCAACACCCATAAATCAAGTACATTTCTGTACATTAGGATAAATCCTCTGAAAAAGGAATTGGGAAAGCTACCCCATTTATAATAGCCTCAAAAAACAAACAAACAAACAAACAAAAACACTTGGGAATCAATGTAACAAAAAAGTGAAAACTAGAGAACACTAAACAAAGAAATTAAAGAAGATCTTAGAAGATGAAAGAATCTCCCTTGTTTTCTTGGATAGGCAAAATTAATATTGTCAAAATGTGTTAATATTGTCAAAATGTGTATTACCAAAAGGGTTATACAGATTTCATTCAAATCTAATCAAAATCCCAATGATATTCCTCATAGAAATAGAAAAAGCAATCATGAAATTCATATGGAAAAATAAGAGACTCAAAATAGCCAAAGTAATCCTAAGCAAGAAGAGTGAAGCACAATACCAGACCTTAAACTATACTACAGAGCTGTAGTAACAAAAACAGCATAGTATCAGCACCAAAATAGACATGTAGACCAATGTTACAGAATAGATGACACAGAGACAAACCCACATAAATACAGTTATCTCATACTAGACAAAGGTGCCAAAAACATACATTGGAGAAAGGATAGCCTCTTCAACAAAAGGGGCTGAGAAAAAATGGAAATTCATATGCAGCAAAATGAAATTAAATTTCTTTCTTTCACCCTGCATAAAACTCAACTCAAAGTGGATCAAGGAACTAGGAATTAGACTAGAGAGTCTGCACTTAACAGAAGAAAAAGCAAGCCAAATCTTCATCATGTTGGCTTATGACCTGACTTCCTTAATAAGACTCCTAAAGTGCAAGAAATAAAATTAAGAATCAATAAATGGGATGGATTCAAACTAAAAAGCTTCTTTGCAACAAAGGAAACAATAATGTAAGAGAGCCCCAACAGAATGGGAGAAAATCTTTACCACACACACATCAGATAGAGCACTGCAAGATATATAAAGAACTCAAAAAACTTAACACCAAAAAAACCAAATAACCAAATCAATAAATGTGCTAAGGAAATGAGCAGACACTTCACAGAAGAAGACATACAATAGATCAACAAATATATGAAAAAAAAAATCTTCAACATCTCTAGCAATTACAGAAATGCAAATCAAAACTACTCTAAGATTTCATCTCACTTCAGTCAGAATGAAGAAGTCAAGCAACAATATGTGCTGGCAAGGATGTGGGGAAAAAGGCATACTGATTCATTGTTGATGGGATTGCAAAATGGTGCAACCACTTTGGAAAGCAGAATGGAGATTCCTTAGAAAACTTGGAATTGAACCACTATTTGACCCAGCTATCCCACTCCTTGGTCTATACCCAAAGGACTTAAAATCAGCATACTACAGTGATACAGCCACCTCAATGTTTATAGCAAGCAGCTCAATTCACAATAGCTAAACTGTGGAACTAACCTAGATGACCTTCAATAGATGAATGGAAACTGTTGTATATATACACAATGGAATATTACTCAGCCTTAAAGAAGAATGAAATTATGGCATTTACAGGTAAATGGATGAATTTGGAGAATATCATGCTAAGCAATGTAAGCCAATCCCATAAAACCAAAGGCCAAATGTTTTCTCTGATAAGTGGATGCTGATTCATATTGGGGGGTGGGGACAAGGGAAGAATAGAGGAATTTTGGATTTGGCAGAAGAGGAGGAAAGGAGGGGAGGGTGTGTGTGTGTGTGGGGGGGGGAAGGTGGTAGAATGAGATGGACATTATTACCCTATGTGTGGGTATGATTGCACGAATGGTGTGACTCTACATCACGTACAACCAGAGAAATGAAAAGTTGCACACCACTTGTGTAAAAAGTAAAAGTAAAAAAAAAAAAAAATCCTCGCCGGGCATGGTGGTACACATGCTGGGGAGGCTGAGGCAGAAGGATCGAGAGTTCAAAGCCATTTTCAGCAAAGGCAAGGCGCTTAGCAACTCAGTGAGACCCTGTCTCTAAATAAAATACAAAATAGGACTAGGGATGTGGCTCAGTAGTGGAGTGCCCCCTGAGTTCGATCCCTAGTACCCCCCCTCAAAAAAAAAAAAACCCAATTAGAACAAATCCCCCAAATAAAAAAAAACAAGAAAATTCCAAAAATTTTAAAAAATTAATTGCCTGTCACATTATTAATGCATAATCACCATCATTGCTTCATACAGCAACTTAGAATATTAGAATAATTTATGAGAAAGAGAATGGAAGACAATGGGTCCTCCAATGTGATTGATGTACTTCTTTTTTTTTTTTAAATTTGCTTTAATTAGTTACATATGACAGTACAATGACCTTGACATATCATACATTTGAATCAGATGGGATATAATTTCTCATTTTTCTGAGTGTACAGGTTGCAGAATCATATTGGTCATGTAGTCACATATATACACACAGTAATAATAATGTCTATTTCATTCTACTATCCTTCCTTGAAAAAAAATTTTATTGAAAGCTTAGAAAACATGGTTCCTGGTGCATGCCTATCATTCCAGCAACTTGGGAGACTAAGGAAGAAAGATTCAAAGTTCAAGGCCAGCTTGTGCAATTTAACAAGACGCTGTCTCAAAATAAAAAATATAATAAAAGGGCTGAAGATATAATTCAGTGTAGAGTACTCCTTGGTTTAATGCCCAATAACACACACACACACCCACACACACATAAAGGGAAAATTTGCTTTCAGCCTCACCATTTATTATTGTTAATGTCTCAAAAGTTTTGGATGTTGTCAAATTTGGGAAAATCTCTATTAAGTGTTTTCAATAATGAGCAGCAAGATTCCAGGGTGTTTGAAGTCTTCCTGCGCAGTGCCTGGTCTTTGAATTGACAGGTTCATTAGCCACATTGCTGCCACCAAACCTCCAAAGGCTTTTGGAGGGGGCCCTAAGTGGGTCTAGCCTGAAGAGGGCTTGGGGCAGTCTGGGTATGAGGTGGGGACCTGAGCAGAGAGAGGGACAGCAGTTGGGAAGGCCCTGTTCCTTGGGGAATAGCAAGACTATGGGAGTGCCTGATGTGGGGTGGGGGCTGGGACATCGGGGAGGATGGACTGGGTTGCAGGTGTGGAAGGCCTGGAATGCAGAGGTACTGGGACATTGGGAAACTACCTTGGGGGCCTAAGGGATGGGGGCAGGGCTGGGCATGGGAGGGGCCTCAGCTGTGGGGGATTGTAGGGGCAGCTTTAAGGCCTGAGTGTGGGGAAAGAACATGGGGAGGGTCTGAAAAGAGGGGTCTATAACTTGGGTATCCTCTAGCCATGTATGGTAGCTAGGCATAGGAGTCTGATCATAGGTAGAGATCTAAGCAGGAGAGGACTGGCTGTGTGTAAGGGGGTCAGGTTGTGGGGGTGCATGGGATTTAAATAAATTTCAGGAGGGCAGAAAAGGTCTTGTCAAGAACAGTTTTTCGGGCTGGGGATGTGGCTCAAGTGGTAGCGCGCTCGCCTGGCATGCATGCGGCCCGGGTTCGATCCTCAGCACCACATACAAACAAAGATGTTGTGTCTGCCGAAAAACTAAAAATAAAAAATAAATAAATATTAAAAAAAAAAAGAACAGTTTTCCCCCCCTTTTCCATATAAAGACTGTTTTTAATAGAAAAACCAAAACAATACTTAACTAAACCAAACAGCCAAAGAAAAACAACACAAATCTCCATTAACAAAAGACATTTTCTCCATTGAGCAGAGAAAGATAATTACCATATTTTTTTGTGGGTAATAATAAGGACCTTATTCCACATAAACTGAGTGGACTGGAGTCACATATACCTAATGTAATGTAAATATCAGAGTATGACTGAAAGGAGGATGCAAAGATAGCATATAAGTAAAATTCAAGACTATATATGTAGTAAAACTAAATATGGAAGTACAGAGTAGACACAATTTTAAAGGTAACTGTATTATTCAGACTGGGGTTGTCTCTGCCCCATCCCATACCCTGAAGAATCAAAGTGAGGTGATGGGGTTCTTGAGGGAGGCTTCCACTATCTGGGTAACAATGAGGCTCTTCAGCTGCAGTGGGTATAACCTATTCAATTGATTGTACATTAGGATACACAAGAAAATCAGCTAGGGCACTGTTAGCATAATTAAGATTCTTCTAAGGTTGCTGTTCCCCTTGAAGAGGCAAAAGGGTGGCTATTTGGGGAAGACAGGGGAGGTGTTTGATGGAGGTGGTACAGCCATTTTCTGAAGAGGGAACAGAGAGATTCTTTGAAGGATCAAGAGCTAGACGCAGGGCAGCCTGTGTGTGTGTGTGTGTGTGTGTGTGTGTGTTGGGGGGTGCTGTTCTCCAGGACTGGCAATCATCCATTGTTTGGGCAGTCTGTGTGTGATGAGGATTGAGGGATTATTTGGGGGGATTAGCAGCCATAAAATAGGCAGACAGGATTCTATGGGGAGGGAGGGACCAAGAGGAGAGGTAGGAGCTAACTGTGTGCAGAAGAGGTGAGGAGAATTTTGGAAAGTCACTGTAGCTAAACCTCCTGTCTTAAGTCTTGCATTAAGCTTAATTAGATACCTCCCACCTAAGGGTTTAGAGCCCTTGTGCTGCTTTTACAGATGAGAAACTGAAGTATCTTCCCTAAGGCCAGTCTAACTCCAAAGCCCTGTTCTTCATTCTTTTCAGTGAAATTGATGCTATCAGTATTCCATATATATGGGGTAAAACTGAGGCACAGAGAGGTAATCACTTGCTACTAAGTGGTCAGACCAGAATTAGAATTCAGGCAATCAGGATCCAGAATCTTGGCCTCAGCAGTGGCAGTGTTTGTGGAAGAAACCGGAATGTGGCCTGAGGCAGGTGCATGAGGTGGGGGAAGGTATGAGAGTGCAGGGGAAAGTTTCTCAGTGCAGATTGCAGGGGAGGGAGTTTGCATCTCTAACTTTCTCTAGTCCCTCCCCATTCACTTTCCAGCATGTTCCAGAGCCTGCTAAGTGCTGATGTGGGGCCCCATGAGGCCACTTCTTTGGGGAGGGAAACTATCCTGGGGATCTATGGTGATCAAACCCAGTGCCTCATATGCTAGGCAAACACTCTACCACTGAGCTTTTACCCCCAGCCCAAGTTCTTAACTCCTTATGTTGGTAGGAGTCTAAAACTTCTGGTCTCAAGTGATTCTCCTGCCTCAGCTTCCGAAGGAGCTGGGACTACAACTGTGCGCCATCATGTTGAGTTGGTGTTATTAACAAAAACAACAAAAAGAATGTACAAACATATATACATACATTTATATATAGAAAGAATATAAATACTCATATATGTATATCATTCATTCATATATATTTACTTTTGTCATTGATATATATGTCATTCATAGGTATATGTCATATACATACACACAAACACACACACTTTTTAAGACAAACATACTTTCTTGAAGAAAGAAAGATTCTCTTTCAGAGACATAACAGAGGTACAGAGACATAACAGCTGAACTTGGGAAGCAGTAAAGCTGAACCCTACCTACCAGAATAATCCTGGTCCAGCCTGGGTAAGTCCCACAACAAGCCCATTTGTACCAACAAATTCCAGAATGAAGCTTCCAGGAGTTTCTAGAATTGAGGTGGGAGAGACTAGGGTGGGTAGATTGGCTACAAGTTCAGAGGAAGAACAGAGTAGAGCTCTTCTGTCTGTCTCTTGAAGTCTGAGTTGTTTCCATCTTTATTCTGCGTCTTTGCATTTCCAAGTGTTTCTCAATGCCTCCCAGTGTTTGTCTCGCTGGAATTTCCTTGGTCCAGGCCAAGCTCAATAGCTCCCTCTTCTGGACACAGTACCACCAGACACAAAGTGATAAAGTGAGGGCTTTTCATTCACTTGGGGCGCTTTCCCGGGCCTAGCCTCTGAGGGTGTGGAATCCTTTGGCAGTTTTCATTTGTGGGAGATCGGCCAGTTTTACCTCCAATGGCCAAAAGGGGGCGATGAAGGATTGTCTCAGCATCATTCCTACCCTCCCAGCAGCTCCTCTCGGTACTGGACATTTGCACCCGGAGTAGATTTCGGTGGCTAGAAATTTGTTCAAACCTGAAGCCTGTTCTCTGGCGTGCCGTCTCTCTGTTTCTCTCTCTGTCTAATGGGGATGGAACAAAGGGCTTCGTGTATGTAGTAGGCAAGCGCTCCATCACTGACCTATATCCTCAAGCTCTGAAGTTTTCAAGATCAGGTCTAGCCTACCCAATCTCATTTCATTGTGATGATTTGTAAAGTTACTGGTGTGCCAGCTGTTCTTTCTTGAGCTCTAGTTTCCTTTACTTGAACTTGGTAGAATAATCTACCTCAGGGTAGGTAAAAGTGAAAGAAGTAATTTTTGTACAGGTTTTAGGAGAGAGCTTATTATACATTTCATACCATGGCTGTCACTTTCTTGCATTTCCCATTCAATGTCCTCACTGACTATGGGTTAAGGGGGACCACAGGCTCTCAGTTTTCCTGCGGGCACCTTTAACACTGGACTGAACAGGACCACTTGCAGCTTGAGCCAACTGGAGTTTTTGGTGGAAAAAACATGTTTGTTTAATGTCCAGGTGCCTTCACAGCTAAACTTAACTAACCATTAAATATCTGTATATACATTTATTTAATAACTACATACAGCTTATCTGTCAAGAAATGTGAGGGCTTGGGGTTTAGCTCAGTGATAGAGCACTCCTCTAGCATGTTCCAGGTTCTGGGTTCCATCCAGTACCCAAAACAAAACAAAACGAAAACAAACAAACAAAAAAACCCCAACTTTTTAAAAAAGCAAATATGTGGGGCTGGGTTTGTGGCTCAGTGGTTGAGCACTTACCTAGTGTGTGTGAGGCACTGTGTTCGATTCCCAGCATTGTATATAAATTAAATAATTAAATAAAGTTCCATCAACAACTAAAAAAATTAATTTAAAAAAAAGCAAATATGTTTTTTTTTTTTTTTTTGTCTCTTGAGTTTTGAGACTGGAGACCAGGCACTCTACCAAATGAGCACTCTACCAATTGAGCTCCATCCCCAGGCCCATAGTATTTTTATTTCCTCTCTCTCTTTCTCTCACTCTTTCTATATATACCCATCTAAACATTTACGTAACCACTGAATATAGGAAATGCATAATTTTCAATTTATAGAGATTCATGTGTGTATATCTTTTCTTTAATTATAATTGATTTAAAAAATAAAAAATATATTTATTTTATTTTACTTGGTAAGAGGACTGAATTCAGCTGGGGGCTTAATCATTGAGTCATATCCTCAGACCTATTTATTTATTTGGGTACCAGTAACTGAACCAAGGGTTGTTGAACCATTGAACCATCATTTTTATCCCCAATTTTTAAAAATATTTTTATTTTGAGACAGGGTCTTGCAAAGTTGCTTAGGCTAAGTTGCTGAGGCTGGCTTTGAAAATTAAGTTCTCCTGCCTCAGCCTCTTGAATCATTGGTATTTCAGGTATGAGCCACCATGCCTGGCTAGAATTGATTTTAGTCCTATTCTACACTTTTAAATTTATCCTTTAATATTTTTATAACTACTGTATTTGTCTAACCATGCTATGCATTTTTATACAGATGCTCCTTTACTTATATGGTGTTGCATCCCTGCAAGCCTATCATAAATTGAAAATGTTATAAGTAAAAAAATGTAGTTTACACATCTAATCCATAAGACTGTAGCTTAGCCTTACCTACCTTAAATGTTCTCAGAACATTTAGGTTACCCTACAATTCGATTATTGTAGGGCAATCTACTCCAACTGTAGCGTAATCTAACATAAAGTCTATTTTATAATAAAGTGTTGAATATCTCATGTGATATATTAAATATCTATATCTAAAAAACAATGGCAACACACTCCATTGTAAAGTATGGGTATTCACTCCGGAAAAAGAGCAAAATTCCAAATTCTAAAATTCTCAGTACACCTTTTTCTTTCTTTTTCCATGTCCTTAGCCCCCACTGCCCTTCTTTCTTTTTGGTGGTACTGGGGATCAAACTCAGGGGCACTTTACCTTCATCTATCTTTATTTTGAAACAGGATCCAGCTCCTCAGTAAAAATTTTTAACATCACTTTCCCCTATTACTCCCTACCTATTTTACCTCAGCTCTAATTGTTCCCCCAATCTAGTGTCTATTCCAGGTAGCCAGCTGTCCCAGGACAGTTCAAACCCATAGTGTGCTCAGCCTGATTGCCCCTTCCACTCTCCTTTCCATGCTATTTGGTACTGTCTGGCAGTTTGGTCCTCATGGGATTAGAAACTGGAAGTATACTCATCCTCAGTATCACATATCCCTTGTGGAGCCCTGGAGCTGCACAGAGGGGCAAGGGATGATGGTGCTGGAAGGGATATTCAGAGAAATCTGTGCTTTGTGCACCAGGGGAAACTTCAGGGAAGGAATGGCAGTGGGAGCAGGGACCCATGGCCAAGAACCCCTCAAGGTATAGGCACTTAGTCCTGCAGCTACAGAGAACAGTGGCTGCTGATGGCAGTTAGCAGTCTCTTCCTGAAATTATCCTTGCCCCAAGGTCATGTCCCCTCTCTTGGAAACTTGGCCCTGGCTTGGCAATATAGATGTTTCTTGCCTCCAGGCAGGACATCTTTGACCAACAACCAGGCCAAATTCCAGAGCTCCCTGTGAAGTGAAAGGAGGTACATCCTGACTCAACACTGCTTCTGACCAGTCAGTTCCCCTCACCATCCATAGGTGCTGTTCCTGAGCATAGTCTCCAGTGAACTTCCTGCTGCACATGGCAAGTGTGTTCTATTTCCCAGGGAACCTAATCTAAGGCACGTGGGTCCAGGGAGGCTACAGGAAGCAGACTCTAAAATGGGATTCTGGAGCTGCACCCCCAGCTGGTCCCCACCTCTGAGGGACAAATGCCCTGGCATGCTGTAGTAGGTGAAATTACCAGGACTTTCACAGTTGGTGAGTTGGGATGGGATGTAATATCAAGCTTCTGAAAGATTCTGGGGCAGGACTAATGATAAGGTCTGGAAGTTGGATGGATGCTGTTGAGACTGTTGACTGAGAAAGACAAAGGCAAGCATGACTAGGTGATGAGTTAAGTGTCAAAGCCACTGGACTTTCCAGGCTGCATTTAAAGAGACTTTATTTCTTGTTGTTAGAGAGCTGAAAATGCCGAGAATGTGGCCCAGAGCTTAATAGAGCTCAAAAACAAAATGATGAACTCTCAGGCTGGGTCAGTCTAGATGGGAGGAGGCAGAACATAAAGTCGGATATGACAGAGTTTACTAATGTAAGAACACTCTTACAGACCATCCTGTTCACCCATTGCATTGACAATATCACTGCAATTGGTTAATTGGTACAGAAGATAAAGAAGCATGGAAATTATGTTTGAAGACTTTGTAAGGTATAGACACTTCAGAGGAATGGAGACAAATTCTATGGGTTCAGGGGGTTCCCACATTTGTGAAGGTTTTTTATTTTTTTTTTAAAGAGAGAGAGAGAGAGAGAGAGAGAGAGAAATTTTTTAGGTTTATTTTTTAGTTTTCGGCGGACACAACATCTTTGTTTGTATGTGGTGCTGAGGATCGAACCCGGGCCGCACGCATGCCAGGTGAGCACGCTACCGCTTGAGCCACATCCCCAGCCCCTGTGAAGGTTTTTCTTGTTATAATTTTACTGAGTAATATTTGACAGACAATAAGCTGCCTATATATATTTTAGGAGATGTGTCCTGAGATTTGAACCCAGGGCCTTGTGCATGCATGTGCTCTACCACTGAGCTACATTCATAGCCCTGAAACTGACTATATTTATATTGTAAAATTTGGACTGGTTAGTGCTCAATGATAGAGTGCTTGCCTAGCCTGTGCAAGACATTCCAGCATTTGATGTTATATGATCATCAAATCAAACAAACATAAAAATCAATGTAAAACATAAAGTTTGAAGAGTTTTTTGACAGGTGTATATGACCATGAAATCAGAATAGTCAAGAAAATTAACCCTAAACCTTCCTTTCATAGTACTATTTTTTTTTTTTTAAGGTGGTGGTGGTGTTGTGGATCAAACCCAGGGCTTTCTGTATGCCCTCTCCCACCGAGCCACATTCTCAGTCCCTAAAGCCCTAGAGGTTTTTTGTAATTCATTTCTCCCTTTCCTGCTGACCCACTCCCCAGTGCCAGTACCCAAGCAGCTTTCTGTCTGATTAGTTTACATTTTCTAGACTTTTATATAGATGGAGCCATATAGTCTATACTCCTTTATCTGGTTTCTTTGCACCAGTATAGTTGTTTTTAGATCCATCTTTGTTGATTTCTCTCCTTATTCTGAAATAGTATTCTATTATTTAAATATGTCATAATTTATCAATTCACCTGTTGATGAACATTCAGATTGTTTTTAACTATTACAAATAAAACTCATTTTGGATGGTGAGGGGTTTCTGGATTGAACCCAGGGTTGCTCAAACTCTGAGCCACATCTCCAGCCCTTTTTAATATTTTGTTTATATACATATAAAAAAACCCTTCTCACTAAGTTTTAGGGTCTTGCTAAATTGCTGAGGCTGACTTTGAACTTGCCATCCTCCTGCCTCACCCCCGAGCTGCTGTGATTACGGACATGTGCCATTATGCCAGACATATAAAACCTCTATAAATATTAAATGTGTAAGTCTTCCTGTGGGGCATATATTTTCATTAAACTTGGGTAAATACCTAAGAGTATACCTGGCTAAATCATATGGTTGTAGCATTTTACATTCCCACCAGCATTGAGGGAAGAATTCAGTTTCTCCACATCCTTACCAATACTTGGTATGATCAGTCTTTTTTTTTTTTCTTTGCTGGGAAACAAACCCAGGGCCTCATGCATACTAAGCAAATGCTGTGTCACTAAGGTACACCCCC